ATCTTTACGCAATTGTTGACCGATTCTTTAAATTCATATTGAAAAATTACAATAAATAAAAAAACAATTTAACTTACAAATCAGCACTGGATATACGTAAAGAACGTGTAGTATTTGTGTTTGATGCATTTATTATTGTTGTTGAAGCTGATGGAGTACCCAAAAGAATTTTTGTTCGAGGATTCTAAAGAGAAAATATTTTCTTTTTAATAATTATAATTTCGAAGAAATAAAAATTCGATATATTTCAACAAAAGACTAAACTAATGAAAGGAATATCAAAATGATATTTATTTGATTGAGTAATAAAAAAATTTTGAAATGATTTGATTTTTCAAATGATATCGAAAAATAATCTCGGTCGAAAAGTGATTTGACATCACGAGAGATTCTCTCTAATAAGAAATCTCTAGAAAGATAATTTGATCTAGAGGAAATTCGATAATTAACTAGACACGAACAGAATTTTATTAATCTCAAAGGATTCAAATTAAAAGTATTAAATTCACTGAAATATAAAAAAAAGCATATAAAGATTAATTTATATGCTTTTTTTTATATTTCAATTTCTATTTTCTCTTTCGGAAGATCACTATCTGCTCTTGCTCGATCGAATAATGAAAAATCAAAACAAACCACAGTCAATGTTGTTGTTGTATTAAGTCCTGTCGCTGCATTTTTCGCTAAATATTTCGGTACTAATTCTCTTTGTCCTCTTGCAAATTGTTGTTGTTTATCAATAGGTAAAGCAGCTATTTGCATATCTAATTTTTGTATTTGAAGTTTTTGTTCAAATGTTAATTCCATAGGTAAAATACCTTGAGCCTAAAAATTTTTCCAAAAAAAACAAAATAATAAATCTTTTTTTTTTTTTATTTTTTTTTTTCAATTAAAATTTACTTGTAAATCAGGTAAATTAACATGACGAAGTTTTTTTAAAACAGCATTTAATAATTCATCTTGTTTAGCAAGTGGTAATTGTATAAGTGTTGTACCATTTGATTTTTGTTGTGTTGTTATAGATGTTGATTCACGTTTAATTGATGATGGATTTGATAATAATGTATTAAGTGTTGTAGATTGATCAAGTAAACGTTGACGATGTTGACCATTTATTCGTGCTTGTTCAACTGATTGTGATAATGTTTCACGATAACGTATTATACGTGTTGAAAATTCACGATCTTTTTCTGTTGTTGAATGCATTCGTGATAAATATGTATCAATTAAAGTGATTTGTTTTTCTGGATCTAAATTTATTTGAAATATTAAAAAAAAAAAAAGTAAAATATCAAATTATTTTGTTCTTTACCTTTTCCATTTGCTTGAAGATCATTCATTAATTGAGTTGTGAGATCACTGTTCGTTGATACAGATAAATCTATAGAATAAGAATTTTTAAAAATAAAAATTATATTTGAAATATTTCTTTTTGAATTTTACTTTTATCGGTTAATTTTGATTGTATATTATCGTTATTTGTTACTTGAACAATAATATTACCGGTTTGAGGTTTGGATAAAATAGGAGTTGATAAACGTTGTCCAGTAGTCATCATCATTAAACTAAAAATATAATATAATAAAATAATAATTAAATCAAAACTAATACTTTGATGTTGGACTATTGGTTGTAGTTGTTGTCGTTGGACGAACAAATCGAAGTGTAGTTGGTATAGATGATTGATTAGTTGAAGAATTTGACTGAAGTAAAGATCCACTACCTAATAAACAAATGAATTTATTCAAATATAATTTAATAATTTAAAAATAAAAATTTTTCAATCAATATTTCACTTATTGTTTTGTTTAAATTTACCTAATTCATACATTTTCTCCTTATAATATATTACATAAATCATCAAATAAAATGAATAGATTTCTCTTCTTATTACACCCTTCGAACTTCAAAACAATAGTTGTCCTTGACAATAACTAATACACATGATTGAATAGCTAGATTGTTTGAAACGTATCCACAAGGTACTAAGTGCAAATGTTAATACCACCAGCTGTGAAATGATGCTGAATAAGTCATTAACACTTATTTATTTCGGATTATTTATCCGATAGCATGTTGAAACATACACTTGTTCTAGTAGCTAGTTAATATATATGGAAAACTCAAGAATTCTATATCAAACAAGCCTTTTATGTCTAGAACTATAGGTAGTTAGAATTGTAAGGAAGATATCGGGATGTGGAATCTGCCGCAGGGTAACTGAATTCTTCTTCTTTCTAAATGATATGAGCAAGGAAATGGTTATTCGATCATTTACCTATATATATATGGGCATAACCAACGGTATGAGGCCCCGTTTTAATACAGCCCTATTTTAAGGATAAAACATACTATTGTTCGGGTCATATAAGAGAGGACCCTAGATAACCCTGAACAACATCATGTTTTATCCGTACAGTAGTGAAGAAAAGCTATCAGTCAATAGCTTTTCTCTACTACTGTACGGATAAAACATGATGTTGTTCAGGGTTATCTAGGATCCTCTCTTATATGACCCGAACAATAGTATGTTTTATCCTTACAATAGGGCTGTATTAAAACGGGGCCTTATACCGTTGGTTATGCCCATATATTTTCGTAGACCAAGCTTAGATTAGTCTATGATATTTATATACCGATCGAAATTTAACATTGTCAAAGCTCAAGTTTTCTTGAAATCACAGATTACTAATTAATATATATTTAGAAGAAATATTGTATGTTTTTTAAATTTTATTCATAAGTACACAAATTGTTAAAACCGATTGTATATAATTCTACTCGTTAATATACAATATTACGCAGTAAAATTATTCAAGCAGACAAGTACTGCTTAACACGGATGCTTATGTTCATCCAGAAGGCATACTTGGGTCAAGAGACTTTGAAAATTCAATTTTTTTTTTTCTACATCGATATATTCTTAATCGAATCATTTTAAAATTTTGATAACTTAATATAATCATTTTGTTGAGATTTAAATTCAAGTTTCAAAATGAAAAAAAAAAGTATACGGAAAGAAAATTTTTCCTATAAACTATTAATTGTTTTATTGGTTTCAAGAATATATTTTTAGAAAATTTTTCGATTCTCATTCATAATTATTTACTATTTTGAGTTGAACCATTTTGTATAATTTGTGTTGATGCAACTTGTTGTGTAACAGTTGTTGAAGGCTTAAAAAGAAAAAACAAAATTCAAAAAATATTTAATAATGAAAATCTCTTACAGTTGTTGATTGTTGTGTTGAGGAATATTTTTGTTGTAAAAGTTTTGTAAACATACTTAATGGTATTAATGTTTGATTACCATTAATATTAATAGCAACCATTTGTTGTTGTGATTGTTGTTGTTGTTGATTTGTTGATTGAATATTTGTTGGTTGTTGTTGTTGAATAACTGTTTGATTTAATATTACATTGACATTTGTTTGTGAACCTATAGTTTGATTAAGTACACGTGGTGTTGTTTCATTTGTTGCTATTGTTTGTTGCGGCATTGTTGTTATAGTTTGTTGTGGCATTGTTGTTATTAATGATGGATTTGTATTAAAATTAAATGTATTTTGTGTTATTTGTACATTTGTATTATTTGTTGTATTTTGATTATAAATATTATTATTCGTATTCGTAGTTGTAGTATTAGTATTTGTTGGATTTGTATTTGTTGTTAAACGATTTTGATCAGTTGATAAACGTTGAGATCCAGTAGAATTATTTGACTAGAAAAATTAAAAATCGAAATATGAAATTTTTTTGTTTGAAATTTATATTTACAGATTTAGTTGATGAACGAAGAAATGCATCAAGTGCAGCTGGATCTCTATATAATATTAAAAAATAAAACTAAGATTTTAAATATTAAAATTCAATATATATCCTTACTGAATAATGTCGATAATTGATCGACCTTGACTCATAATTTTGAAGATAGCTAAATAAAACAAAATACAAACAATATATTTTTTGTTTATAAAAAGAAGAAAAAAACATACCAAGAAAAAATAAAATAAATCATCTAACATTAAGAAATTCTTTTGTTTCGTTTTTCTTATTTATCTATCATTACATCTAGAAATAAATTGATCTATATGAAACTATTCCTCGAACTATGAGGAGTTAAATGAGGTATGACACATAGAAAATTTTTTAAATGAAATTATCTTAATTTTTTATTTCTTTTATTTCCTTTAGATTTATTTTTTGTATTTAATAGAGAAAACAAAAAGAAAGATCATCGATTGATCTTTAATTGAGGTTATGTTTTTTGAACTCGTGAACCTCGTTTTTTTCCAATACCGGACAAGGCCAAAAATAGAGAAAAAAGAGAGAATAATTCTGTGACTCATTTACAAGACCTCACTTTGCTTTCTTGTCTGGTCTATCTCTCTCTCTCTCTCTCTTTTTCTCTCTTGCTCCTTCTTTTTATTGAAAAAAATATATATATATCGAAAGGGAGAGAGAGAGATTTTTTCTCTTATCGCCATCTTGTCTGTCTGAAGTTGTTTGTGTTTGATAAAACATCAATGAGGAGGCAAAGTCGAATACTTTTCGAATAGTAGAGTAAAAGATAATAGTTGCTTTGTTATGATTTTTTTTAATGTTAAAAATAGAAAAAAAGAATGATTGATATAAAAAATTATGGTCAAAAATAAATTCGAGTAGTTTAGATAAAGATGGCGCTATTGAAAGAAAACAAAAATTTAAATTACGTAAAGCGTCAAAATATGATCAGCTGACATGTGTCATTGATGGTTGCATAATGAGCAGAGGGGAATAAAAAAAAAACAATAAATGAATGGCGATTGACGGTCTTTGTTGTTTTGTTATCTATAGATTATCATTTTCAATCTAGTCATATTTATTGAAAAGTTATTAAATGAATTATATTGTTTGTTTTTTTTTCTTGTTTTTTATCAATATGACTAATTAAGACTAATTAATATATATATATATATTATAATATTTGAAATTCATTCTAAATATATAGATATATGTTTCATGGTGCTATTTAAACAATTATTATTTATATTATCTGTGATATTTTTACTATTAATTAATTATTGTTTTTGTCGATTAAATTATTCGACAAGTTATTGTTTAATAGGACCTAATTTTTGGTGTTTAAATGAAACAACTGAATTCTTATGTGATTTTCACAATAAATCTATTGGTCTATGTGGTCTTTCAAATAAACGTTGTCAAATAAAGAAAGGTTATCTATCATTTTGTTTTTTTTCATCATACTTACTGATTATTTAATTTTCTTGTTTGTGTTTTTTTTTCTTCTACTAAAGGTGATGATTTTTGTAAATCATCATCAGCTCAACAACAATCACCATTTCAATTTAATGGTGGTTTAACAGGCGTTAATGATAATTATTTTTCTTATTATATACTTAGTTTTTATTGGCCACCAACATTTTGTCCATTAATATATAATGAAACAAATGATTTATTAAATTATTTTTGTTCACCATATACAAATATAAATCAACCAGGTAGTGAACGTTTAGTATTACATGGTCTTTGGCCAACATTTTCTACATATGGTAATTATCAAGGTTGGCCACAATTTTGTTCATCAATATATAATGATTGGTCATATTGTCATATTGATGGAAATTTATGTCCATGGAAAAATACAACAGAACATGAGTTTTCACAAAGTCATTATGAATATTGTTTATCAATGGAAAATATTGAACAATGTCTTATTAATGGAACACAAATTCTTGAACCTGAATATGAACGTTTAAAAATGTTAGCACCTGGTTATTTAAATAAATATAACTTATTTATCAATCATGAATGGACAAAACATGGTAAGTAGAAAAACCAAGTTTTGATTATAAATAAAAACAAAATTAAATTTTTTTTTTTTTCATACAAAAAGGCTCCTGTTGCTCATCAACATTTAATAATAATATATCCAATTATTTAACTCATATGCTTGATTTAACTGATATGTTTACACAACCTGGTAGTTTAACTTATGAGGTAAAATAAATTGTATATTACTTTAAAAATAGAATTTTATTATGTATTAATGCTTATTATGATATGCAAGACCAAAGTTTTTTTTTTTTTGATAGATTAATCTTTAGTTTCGATCTGTCCTAATCTTCGAATGTTAAAAAACTGAAATTTTTTTTTTTTTTTATATATATTTCGGGAAAGATCATTTATGTGTCTATATATAGATTTTTCAATGGAATTTTTATCGTTGTTTGTTAAAAGGTTTATCTTTGTTTTCTTCATTTTGCTTTGATAGTTAACTGTCTAACATAATATTGATGATGTTGGAATATGAAGGGGTGTGGATAGATGGGTGTTTTCTCTTTATCAACATTTGCTTGTGCAAGAAAAAGAACAGAATGAATTATTTCGAGCGATATTCAAATGATTTAGTTTATTTTTTAAATTAATATTACTATATATCATTTCTTCGAAAAAATGAAGATAGAATCTGCTTGACAATAATCTCTTCTATGACAGAAGTATTCTAAAACTTCTCAATTGATTTATTAATCAGGATTAAATACAAATGCAATAGAATTAACTATGAAAAATTAATTGATAAAATTTAATTTTATTGTTTTATACTTAATATCTCGTTTTATAGCTATCATTTATTGTAAAGATAATTCATATTTATGTATTTCTCTAGAGTAGAAAATGATGAGACCATGTAAATAGGATGTATACTATACATGACTTGTCTAGGTCATGTAATTGATAAAAAAAAAAAAAAAAATAAACGAATAAATTTACTATAATTTTATATTAAACATTTAAGATATGATTAAAAATAAAATAAAATTTTCTAAATAATAGAAATGTATATAAATTATATAACTATGTTTTAATCATTATAAAATATATATTGTCGAACATGTTATTTATTCTATATTATTAATAACTTTGTTTCGATTAGCATCGATTTATTTTATCTCTAATAAATCATTATTTATTTTCTTTAGTATATTCAACGTTATGCTGGACAAAAAATTGCATTAACTTATCTTATATCAGTCTTTAATCAAACAGCAATAATTAGTTGTAATTCAAAATGTGAATTAGAAGAAATTGGTATATGTATAAATCGTGATGATCATACAGGTTTACCAAATAACTTCATAACGTGTCCATTAGGTGCACGTAATGCAAGTGATTCATGTAAAGAAGATCGATGTGAATATATATTTATTCCATTACGAAATAAATTACAATCAAATAATATCGATGAAGATTTTAATCAAATAATATGGACAAAACTTATTCGTATTATTTTTATATTGATTTTTTTTAAATTTATTTTAATTTTTTGTGGTAGTTGTTATGCATTTTTTTAGTTAATTATATAAATATATTTATTGATAGTATTAGTATATCTGTGTAAATTAAAATATAATTCTGTTTTCTATAAGTCTCATTTATAAATAAAAAAGAATAATATTTTTTATATTATTATTATGTTTATATCAAATATGGGAGGTTAACAAAAGAGAGAAAAAGAATAAGAATAGAAAAAAGGGTTAAAAAATTTTGTAATTTTTTGTTTGGTCCTCTATTCTTTTGTTTTTGTTCAATGATGTTTAGGTTCAGCTGCTGCCTTTTTGATTGATTCAATATCCTCTTCTGTTATTTCAACAAGTTGTTTGATTTGTTGCGGTTCATTCAGCAAAGCCAAATAAAGTTGACCGATTCTTGGTCGTTTTGGTTCAGGTGCTGCTACTAATCTGTGAGTTTTTGGATCAGGTACCTGGCCACCACCACCTGTTTGCATGTAATGAAAATGTGGTTCTTCATGTTCGATTGGTGAGCCACGTATTTGATCAAATTTATCGAATTCGAGTGTATAATGAATTGTTGGTGGTAAAGATCGTGTTGACATACCTAAGTATATCAATATATATATATATATATAATAATGTAAATAGAATTTTATTTATTTATTTATTTTTTAAAGATACAAACCTTTTGCATAATCAGTTAACGGACCAACAAATGCATAATCAGAAAGAATTACTAATTTAAGAGCTTCTTCTCGGCCAGTAAGAATACCCATGATTATTTTAAAATCTAAATAAAAAAATAATTAAACATTAATGGTTCCTGATCTATGGGTATGCAAAGGTCAATGTATTCTGACTTTGCTTGTTATACTAGCAAGTCTTTTTTTCTATCGAAGACAACTAGAACTCTCTCTTTCTTTTTTGTTAATGATCGAACATTTTCTGTACGTTCTATTTTTCTCTGTCTCTGTCTCTCTTTCTGTCTCTGTTTTGCGCGCCATCTTACTCTCTTTTTTTTTCTGAGACCATAGAAATCGCTCTTTAATTACGTTTCTATCTCTATACAAACGAATCATAGAAGAAAATTGTTTATGCATGTCTTTTTTTGGGCGGTGGAGGTTGTAGGCATACATAAATATGTTCTGAGACCAGCACACGCATCCTTCTTATTCTTCTTTTCTACTACGAAATAGATAGGTGATGACAAATTACCGTACCGAGCGTTGGCAAGTTGTCTATTCTATTCTACGAGATTGACACACTATGTTTATTACAAGTTAACCTTCGATAAGTAAATCTCGGCTTGACCGAATTAAGAATGTTGTTTTTTTTTCCCATCTTGTTCGTCTATTACTTCTTGAATGCCAATCGCATCATCAAATGTCAATATTAAAAAAAATTATTGAACAATAAAAGAAAGAAATTATTAGGAAAATAGATGCCACCTACCAAGGATTTTCTTACGTGTTCCTATCTAATACAGTCATCTAGCTAGGATACTTATTAACGATACATCAATGAGTATACAGAAAAGAAACTACCAGACAGCTGGATGCATCATTACAAACATCACCCGACCGAATAACGTTTATTTATCTAGATTAGAAGAAAAAAAGATACTCAGCCGGCCAAGTGATATTCAATACACCATACTGTTATCGTCATAATTGTGCTTATGTGGCGATCAAGCTAGTGATGTTAAGCTTATTAGAAAATGCCTTTTGGAGCTAACATATACGTGCATGTATATCTATATATCTATATATACATATATACAATGGCTTTCGTCATCAACAAGAACAAAATGTGATAGATAGATCGAACGACCAACATAGAACACTGAGTGACAGGTCGGTCGTCGTTTGTCAACAGCATCATCGCCCATACAAGCTGCTATTCAATCATCATTAGACTATGTTTATGTGTTCGAGTACTTGCTTCTTCTTCTTTTTTTTTTTTTTTTAGTACACACGTGTATTGTAAGTAACAACATCTGTATACTATTACTTCTTTAGCTTCTTCGATCAATGTCAAGGAATTTTCTTTCGATACTCGAAAAATTTTGATAAACGGAATTTAGATGTAAATATTTATCTAGTATTAATTGACGATAAAATATTCATTTTATGAATGCATTATAGTGTTTATTTAATGTATGCAGAATGATATTAATTTAATTTAATTGACATGAGATGTGCGAGAGCAAATAATAAAAATTTACCGAACCTATAAGAAAAGAAAAAAGTTGTTCGAATTCGAAACTAAAAATAGTAATTGAATATACCCTAATTTTTACTGAATTATATTATAAACTACATCAATCAAATAGAAATGACAAGAAAATCTCTTCCGACATCAAATTGCGTTTAATGAGTATTAGAAAATAATGTAAAACTTTACAATGGTTTGATTTTCCAGGTATTGGATTTTAAGATATAGAAAATTTTTTGCTAGATTTTTCAACGAAAAAAAAAAAAAACTATTATCTTTCTCAGATCATATGAGAAATCGAGTTTGGACTTTGATCTTTGTACAAGCAAAGTTTCTAATGAGATTAATTGATTGTGCGAGTTTTAGCTTTTGTTTATTTCCTTTCTGGACATGTAAATATCAAATAGAGGTTACTTTGACACATGAAAGAATTTCAGATATAGAATATCTTAGGAGAGAACATACTAGAAAAGTTACAACTTATTAAATCAGTTAATCTTAATTAAGAACTTTTCCGTTCTTACAAAGTTTGAAGCCGAAATTCGATATTTCAAGAATAATAATTTGAAAAACCAAACCATTTCTGGAATTCATCAAATAAGCAATCTGCTCGAATGAAAAGCGATTTGATAGCTGCAGAAATTCTCTTGTGAGTTAATCAAAACATGAATATTTAAGACTATGTTGAAACTTAATGCGAATCAATTCTGATATTGTTTTCACTAACACAAGGGACCTATTTAAACTGATACGTGCCATTTCAGTTCATATTGGTCCCAAAAGAAGGTCCTCGTGAGACTAACAAAAATCTAAAATGATCCATCCACAATGGGCTATTAGCATCCAGTTATGTTATCAGTTTACTAGACTTTGGATTCATTTGTAAATACTTCCAAAAAAAAACAAACTATGGAATTTCTATCTAAAATTTTGCCTATAGATAAGTCTAATATGAAAATTTCAGTTCTTTTCGGTTGAAATTTTTCATAATATTCTAAGAGTCATTAGGGATTTCTATAGACAAAATTTTAAATCGAAAAATTCAGCTAACTACTTATAATTCGATGCCAAAGTTCTATGGAGACAAATCCTTTTAGATTTTCTCAAGTCTCATTCAAATCTAGTTATAGCTCCAATAATGAGCTCATACAATGAATTTTAGTTGTACTAATTTTCTTGTAAGCTTGGATCGCGATCAATAAAACTTTGTCTCGTGCATCATCCCTATAAAAATGAAATATACGTGAATTTCTATTTCAAGAGTATTAAATAATGGATGGATCGAAAGTTCTCAGACAAAATATTTGTTCATTTTTGTCTACCTCAAAACTATTCTAGATAAATACAAAAAGGTGAATAAGGATCAGAATTTCTAAGGTAGAAGTAAGAAAATCTTTCTAGAGCACAAAAGAAATAGTCTGAACAAAATAGTCGAGTCGAAGTTTTTAGAAAATATTTGCTTTAGTTTTGGCCTACGAAAAAATATTGTAGACGAATTACAACTACAGAAAATAGTCAGAATTTTATGATCTTTCTGAACATGAGTTCAAAAATTTTGTATATGTTTCTGTAAGAGAGTCATGAGAAAATCTACTAACATGCCGGACAATTGGATTAGTTGATGAACATATTGGCATTTACTTCTTCTGTGAGTCCTCTGCGAAGATGCTAAGAACGATTGAATATAGCAGTTTTGTAGAGCAGACAGTTCTCTAAGAATTGTAATGTCGAATTTCAATATAACTTTTACACAAGTAAAACTATAAACATTTTCTGAGAAGCGATTTCTACGTGAGATCGATTTCGATTAAAAAATTGATTTTTCAAAAGCAAGGATAATAAGAAAATGAAAATTTAGATACTTTGTAAGAAAATAAAAAGAAACTGCAATAGAATATTGTGAAGGGCAGAATTTGTTCTACAATCTTATATATAAAGCAAAGTTACAATATTTTTGTTTCGAATTGAAACTGTGAAAATACAAAACATATTTTTATCTAAACTAATTTCTAATGCAATTTAATGATTCCTTTACTGCTTCTAAACAGAAATAGATATCGAATTTCTGAACTTGTGTTCGGAAAGAGCATTAAATTCTGATCCTTATTCATCTAGAACACATTTTGAGATAGTGAAAAATGGTCAAACATTTTGTCTCAAAACTTTTGACCCATCTGTTAATTAAATTAACTATAGATTTTTCTCTTATGTTCAACATAACTTAAGCCAAAAAAAGAAACATAATTAGTTTTATATTGTTTTCGTTTATTATGATGATTATGATATAGTGTTGAATTTAGTGTTATTAAAAAAACATATGTTAGAAAAAAAAAAAAATTTTTATTTCATTTATTATTTAATAAAAGAAAAAGAAGAAATTGTTTTTGTTTAATAGTTGTAAATTATTATGAAATGTCTAAAGGTGGCATAAGAAGTGGTGCACTTGATTCAATTATTTCTCGTGGTTTTATTTCAAGATCATATTTATCTAATTGTCTTGTTGTACTATCATTGAATACATATCTATTACTTCCATTCATAGCTCTTTGTAGTGGTGATAATTCTATATCTGTAGTTGTTAATCTATAATTTTCAATAAATTGATCGACTGAGTCCCAAAAAGTACTGCTAGTATTTGGATCAGCTATAACATGAGTTATCGATGGTGGAAAGCCGGATAATTCAAGTTGTGAACTATATTGAACTAAAGCTTGAAGATCACGATTTTGTAATTTTGTTCTAGGAACCTAAAATATAAAAAACAAAATCATATGTTTTATTTTCATAATTTCAATTCAATGAAAAACCTCAGAAAGAATTCTATTATCTGAATGATGAACTTCTGGACTACTCCATCCTACCGATGAATCCGATGATTCATTAATTGATGCTGATGATGCAACAATTTGAGAACGAGGTGAAAGTGTACGTCGATGTTCTAATTCATTTTCATATACTGGCCCTTGAGCTGATGATATTGATCGGAACGGTGCTGGTGAATTAGATGTTAAAGATGAAGGTTTAAAATAGGCAGATCCTGTTTCTATTAATGAACTTTCTGGTGCAATATATTCGTTAGCTGATGGTGTTGATGAAGGTCTTGAATTTGCATATGTATTCAATGGTGGTGTCCGTGGTATTGATGGAGGTTTCGAATTAACGTATGTGTTTGTTGTTGATGTTGATACAAAGAGTGGTTTTTTTATTTCGACGGAATCCGAAACTGATGGTGTTGATGAAACTGATCGAGGTTTTATATCAACGTACGTATTTACTGGTAGTCTTGGTGCAATAGATGAAGATGTTAAACCAATATATGTACTTGTTGGTGGTGGTGTTGATGTAATTGATGAAATTTTTGAATTAACATATGTATTGACGTTTGATGTTGTTGGTACTGATGGAGGTTTTGAACTGACATTTGTATTGACCATCAATTTTGATACAAATGCTGGATTTTTCGTTTCGACAAATTCAGAAATTTGTGGTGTTGATGTAGTTGATGATGATTTTGAATCGACTCGTACATTTACTGGTGATGTTGATGCAATTGACGAAAGTTTTGAACCCGAATATATAGTCGTTGATGGTGGTACCGATGGAGGTTTTGAGTCAATATATGTATTCACTGGTGGTACTGAGGATTGAATGGATGAATTTTTCGTTTCGACAAAAGCAGAAATTCGTGGTGTTGATGTAGTTGATGACGGTTTTAAATCATCGCGTGCATTTACTGGTGATGATGATGCAATTGATGTAAGTTTTGAACCATTATTTGTAGTTGTTGATGATCGTTTTGAGTCTTGATATGTATTGACTGGCGGTGGTGATTTAATGGATGGACTTTTCGTTTTGATCAATTCGAAAATTTGTGGTGTTGAAGAAGTTGATGACGATTTTGAATCAACGCGTGCATTTACTGGTGGTGTTGATGCAATTGATGTAAGTTTTGAACCATTATTTGTAGTTGTTGATGATCGTTTTGAGCCTTGATATGTATTGACTGGCGGTGGTGATTTAATAGATGAAGTTTTTGTCACGCTAAATTCCGAAATTGATAATGTTGATGCAGTCGATGAATATTTTGAATTGACATTTGCATTTACTGGTGGTGCTGGTGGAATTGATGAATTTTTCGTTGCAATAAATTCAGATATTGATTGTATTGGTGCAACATTTACAGCCAATGGCTTTAAGAAAAAAAACAGCAACATTAAATAGAAAATTCAATGAGATCTAATTAATTTAAATTTTTAAATATTTTAAAAAGTTTTATAACAAAAGAAATTCAAAATTAAAATCTTACAGCACGAGTAGATTTGTTAGCAGAATTAGGAGTCAATTCAGAATTGACAGTAGTTGCTCTTGAGGATGATGATGCGATAGATACAGTTGAAATCGAACGAGATCGTTTATCATCAGTTGAAGGTACTGGTACATTTGAGAATAATGATTTTTTTTCTAATGATTGTTTAGGTGATACAACAATTGGTCGAACTAAATGAAGAATAAATAACATATGATAATATTAAATAATATTTACCTATATTTTCTGATTTTATTGTAGAATTAATGTTTGGTTGCAATTGTACTTTAAGTTGTTGAAAAAATTCTTGTTGAGATGTTTGAAGTTGTTCAATATCATCTTTTAATTCACTTATTTCATCTCGAAGTAAATTTGATTGATTACGAATATTTTCAATAAATGTTGGTGTTGATGATGAACATTGAGAATATGATGTTGCTGTTGTTGTTGCTACTGATGATATACCTGATAATTGTCGATTTCGTTTTGTAAATTCTTTTAAATCATCTGTTGATGTTATTTGATTACATTTTGGCATCTCTTTTAGTTTTTTAACATAATAACGGCGTTCAATAATACGTTCAACACCATAATTATTAAATCCATTTGATCTAATAAAGACAAAAAAAAAATACGATTATTTTTTTTTTTTTGAAAATGATTATTAAATCATTTTTAAATGCATTTACCGAGATCTTATATATCTATCAGTTCTATTTGAACGAATATTTTCGAATTTTTCTAAAATTTTTTCAAAAAACCAATCATCATTTTCATCTTGTAATGTTCTATCTATATCATATCTGAAAATAAATTCTTCTATAGAAATATTTATATTGTTTTTGTATTTTCTACTTACAAATTGTTACTACTTGAAGCATATGATCGTTGTCGTTGTCGTTGTTGTCGTCGTCTCGTCGATGCTTCGTCTAAAAATTCGTCAGAACTTCTTGTGGAACATATTGATAGCATTTTTTATCTAAGATAATATATTATATCGGTACAGTACATTTATTTGAAATATTTGTCCTTCTTTTCTATTGTGCATAATACAAAATCGATAAGAAACGACCTCGCATTCAGGGTATAAAGGGAAAAAAGGGGAGGTTATTTTACCTCGAAGGAGTCGTTGAATAAAGCCATCATGAGCTGATTCCATTTGACTAGTTCTTTTTAAAATATTATCATTATCATTAAAGGATTTTTCTTGTTTATTTGTTTTGCCATTGAATCTTTGAGTTGATTTTGTTTCAAATGAAATTTTACTATTTGTCTGTAAAGGTTGATCATCTGTTTCATTAAATGATGATTTTTTTTGTGAAGATTGAAAAGCAAATAACATAATTATAAAATTATTTCAAATGAGATATTTTTATTCGACGTAAGATAATTTATACAAACTTGAATCATACACCTACATAGACTTTACGCATGAATGCATCTTTGTTATCTAGCAAGGACAACAATAATTAAGATTACATATTTGATATAAACAGTGACATTTTTTACTTTATTTTTTTTGCAAAATTTATTGCACGAAAAAAATGAAAAATTTCAAAGCAAAAAAATGACAAGAAAAAATAAAATAGATTTAAATATGTTGAGATTTTGCACGTTCACCACATGCTATAGCTTTACGTATAATATCTGGACATTTTTCACGTCGTACTAATTTATTATTTTCAAAATGTCCTTCATTTCGTGGTAGACCATGTGACCCATCAGCAAATGTTAAAAGACCTAAGCCAAAAATTTTTCCTTCATGTAATTGTCCTTCATATTTCATTCCATCACAACGTGTAAATACACCTAAACCATGATAACGACCTTGAGCAAATTCACCATCATATCTAAAATAAAAATTATTTTTTTCTTTCGTTCGATGTTTTTTGTTAAATTATTACTTTGATCCATCAGGATAAGATATTGAACCAAGACCAGAAAAAAGACCATTTTCAAATCGACCACGATATTTTGCTTGATCACTAAATATTAATTGACCAAGACCATGTCGTTGACCATCTTCATTCCATTCGCCTGGTGTTTTTTTAAAATATTTTTAATTATTAGAAAAATAAGTTTTTTTTTTATTTTTTTTATTGATTCAATTTTATTTTTATTTTACCTGCGTATTCAGATCCATCAGGATATCGAAATGTACCTTGCATACTACTTTATTTTTCTTCTACAATAAAAAAAAAAAAAAAAAACAAGAGAAAAATATATTTTATCCTCCTATTATTACGGTCGTAAACTAGCAGCATTAAAAAAAAGAGGGAAAAAAACGCATGTGTTCACATCCGTGCACGCCTATCTATTGAGAGTCAAATAGGAATGTTTGTCGCACACAGAACAAAGTTCAATAAATGCAGAAGAGGAAGAAGAAAAAGAAGAAAGAAAATGAATAAAACATTCAGTTCATTTTATCATCCTTCACTGTTATAAATATATATATATGTACAAAAGAAGAAAAATGTTGACTGTGTGCGCACGATTTGAATGTTTGTTCTCGTCGATCAAATGAAAAGTTTGGCGTGGTTATATTGTTGATTAAGTTTCTATATAATTAATTACAGAACAAAAAAAAGAGATAATTATATTGCTAATATTTATATATATTTGTTTATCTTTTCCTATAGATTTATTCTCATAGAATATCCGACAGAGCATGTGCATACAATTTCATTTTTTTATCTGTATGTAAATCAGTAAATTTTGATGTGATTAAATCAATAGAAGATGTTGATGATGTTGACATTGTTGTTGCTTCACTAGTTAATTCATCATCATTCTCTTCAATATCATCCATACGTCCAAGACCAATATTTGACATTGATCGAGCTAATGATGGTCGATAATTTGATGCTTGACTTCGAGTCAATAAACGTTTAGGTGGTTCATTCATTGTTTTATCTATATTTGTTAAATTTAATGATGATATCATAGATAATCGACTTATTTGACGACGATGTTTTTCACGTACATATTCACGTAAAGAATCTTGTAATTGATGATGAAGTGAATCACTAAGAGATTTAGCATCATTTTCACTTGAACATAAACATGCGTGACAACGAAGCTAAAAAAAAGAAAATGAAAGAATTTGAAGAACATTTAGTTCTTTTTAATAACTTTCGTCTCACCTCTGTTGTTAAACCTGATCGAACATTAACATGTCTATAAACCCAAATAAACATTTTTGGATTAAGTTTATCAGCAATAAAATAATATGCAATACGATTTGTACAATAAATAGTAATATCATTTGTTGTTTCTGTTTTCGTATAACTGTCTGCTTGTAAACCACCATTTGTAATCGTTAAACGAAGTTTTCTTCCTAAACGTCCTTGATTTTTTATATGCATATCCCAAAGAATTTTAGCTGGTCGATCAGCACAGCCATCACCTCTTGTTAATGATGTTGCTACATTTCCTAAATAATAAACTTTAAATGACAATGGCCGTTGATTAACATCAAATGATGCTCGCCGTTTGTTGCCCAACAATCGATTCATATAATGTCCTATTAAAAAGAATAAATGATCTGAACAAAAAAAAAAAGAATATATATATATAAATGTGTATGTATGCATAAAGCAAATAAAAAGGAAAGAAAAGAAATGTATTGGTTTTTATAAGAAATATGAACTTATGTCATAACCTCGAACAATTTTAGGTTTGAATGAGAAAGAAGAGAAGAAAAAAAAAACATATAGTATGATCTTAACACGTATGCTCATTAGTAGGATTTTTTTCTTTTATTTCTTGTCCGTAATCGAGATTATACGAGAGAAACAAATTTTCCTTTGTCTTTCATCATGAATGTCATAATAGAAAGGCATCTATACATTTTATTTTTCATATTTAATCTCACCTGTATGAGATTCAGCACGAGTTCAGTTTGCTGGTGTTTTTTTTTTTTTCATTCTTTTACATTCATGTACGTAGGTTGAATACTAAATTGTTCTTTCTATCACTTCGGTCAACATGTGTTTTATGGACGTTGACCGATGTGAGAAAAAGAAAAAAAAAAAAAAAATTTAGAACTGTACAAAGATCAATACATATCATTATTATTTTTTCTTTTTTTGTTTCTTTCCTTAACTATTTGTCTATATGGATAAAGACATATAGACTTTTTTTTTTGAATATAGTAAATATTCTACTTCCAAGAATGTTTCGTGATAAAGAAAGATGTATATATATATATAAGATTAATGACAAAATAAATTGTATTTCTTTTTGTCACGACTTCACTGATTAGTTTTTACTTACAAACTGACGAAGATCAGGTAACTTTTAGTAAATATGATAGCACATTGAATTGTTTTTTTTTTGTAAATTTAGTGGGCAAAAATGTAAAGTATAAAAACGTAGTTTTATCTTTTATATATATAGCAATATTAGTTATTCGAATGAAATCAGTGTTCAGGAGATTCATTCCTATGGCTTATTAAGGCCCCCCCCCCCCCCCCCTAAAAAAGTCACTTGTTATCAGAATAATCGAAATTAAGATAAATACAGGAAACGATAACCTGTAATTTGATCTCTCATGAATGACAAAAATTTTAACTAAGTACCTCGTTTTTTTCCCAAAATCGTTGAAGATTTTTGTCACTCCCTCTTCGAAAAATAAGCTGTTTTTCTAAAAAAATTGAAAATCTTTCTCGCTTTATAGATTTTCGATCGCATATTTCAAAATTCTTGAAGGAGCTTTATTGTAACCAATAACTTTTTTTTTCTTTGAAAGAGTATGTCAAGACGTAGTGCAGTACAAAGTCTTTTTTTTCTTTTTAAATTAAACTTCGTTTTTATTATATATCCAGACACTTATATAAATAGACATCCATTTTTCGAGAGTTTTTTGAGACATTGAACTTGTCATGGCTTTCCTCCACTTAAAAAGTAAGAATTTAAAAAAAAAGGGCTCTGTACTGCACTCCATGCTGACATGTTCTTTCAAACCAAAGAAAATTAACATTTGCCAAATGAGCTATTTTTAACCGTTACTTATTGAATATTGTTTGAAAGCATCATGATATAGAGCTGAAAATTTCATACAATTTGAATGTTCTCGGTCCAATATCGATTTTTGAGCGAGGGGGGGAGCCTTAAGATGTGTAAGAACACGCAAGTGACGTCAGCACTAGATTCGCGTAAAATTTATACATATTTATGTGGGAACTTGTTTCAGAGTTCGTATTCCTGTTCCAAGCACAACTCAATGTACTCTATGAAATTGTATATCCAGATTTTCTATAACTTGAGATTGTTTCTCTGCTAATTTCAATATGAAAGGGTCATGCCATATAAGTCAGTTTCGTTTCAGTATATGTGTAGATAATTCATTCCAAAACTCGTTCTTATGAATTATTTTTCTTTGTATATAATGTCAAAAAAACTCAAGTGAACCGTTGTTCTGATAATTTATGTGTTATTTGCTTTGCAAAAAATTTGAAGGTGTATTTCTGTTATTGACTACAGTTAACTTTTTACCAATACTTAGATGATGCAAAAAAGAACAAAAGTTAGACGTCACACAATTCATATTTTTTCGAAATTTTCTAGCCTTTTATTATCGTTTACAAGAAGGTTTTTATTTGCAAAAAACCTTCTCTACAAATTATATGTCTCTTTCGCATTTGTATTTCTTATCAGAATCTCAGCAATTCTCTACGATACATAGCAATAGTCACTTTACATTGCTGAAATACACTACCAGCAATGAAATGTACTAATAGTATATATTCGAGAATCTATTCGGTTCATCGACTGAATTGAGTAAAAGAATTATTTACAAAAAACCGTTACAATAGGTAACGTAATTCTCTACCATTAGCGTTAGTCAAAGCCAACCCATCATAGTCCATCTCAAAGATGATCTACTCTCAGAACAAAACAAGAAAAAAGCTTCGGTGGGATAAGAATAAATTCGAAGAAAGAATAGATCAACACAAGAGATTCGGAGCAAGTGAGAAAAACAATCAAATACGCACATTCTATCGATGCTGACGTTTGATCTAACCATCGAAAAAAGATTAATTTTGAATCATCAGACAGGTAAAAAACAAAATTCTTCTCTTAAGATATGACTAATAAGCTTAGCGCAAATCTTAGATGCTTACTGATTGATCTGCAAGCAATACAGTGTAAATCATTCATCCACATATTTGGCTCGCACGAGTTGCCATCGGTCACTATTTTCATGCCAAAGAACATACACATTGTCACATATAGGTCATGCTAAAAGCAGTTGGATATGAAAGAATGAATATTGTATCACTAGAAACTCTTTGTTTTTTTTGGCAGACATCAAATCAGAACCTCGACTCAGAGAGATGAGACAATCTTTCCTAACACTATAAAAACCAAGGATGAAAAGTTTATCATTGATTAGGATACATTCATTTGATGAAGAAATGCTTTGATTCAAATAATTTATCATCTACTTGTAAAGTAGGACATTAGTCATTGAAATCAATCAAGATAAGATGAGTCACATTATGGTCTAATATTTATCCTCAGTTTTGGGATATTTTAGATAGAAATATGATCTCAAGTGAATCAAATATATAAGTACATCTTATATATATTTTTTCATCTTGATTCTTTCAAATAGAAAGCGATATTCTATTGCAGAACACTCTATTCGAATGGGTTTTTACTAAATATCATTGTTACGATTATGAAAACCTAAACAGACAAGAGGATTTACCGTAATTATTGAAAATAATCATGTCGTTCTCATTGAATATTTGTTGAGCATATTTTTTTTTTGTAATAAATTTTAAAGAAATATTTTCATTTGTATAAACAAATTCTTCTGGAAGCAAGTTTCTTGATGCATATATTCCATAGCAGGATTTCTCGGAAAATTTTATCACGTATGAATGTGCTAAATGGTATTTTCGTTGACATTCTAGAGCGTCTTCTGACAGAAATTTTATCCGTCGAGCCTTGGATCAACCACTGGCTTGGATAATGAAATCGGTTGAGCACGAATCTCTGTAGAAACGACTCACATTCGATTTATAGTCTAATATGAAGAGTTGTTTTGTTCGCATGTCTTGTCGAATATCAATCCAAGAACATCCATCACCATAGATCATCGACTAACTGTGATTCTTTTCTACTTTATTGTTCGTTCATTAATTGCCAATGTGATCGGGTATAATGAGGACTTCATTTATCATCAAATGTTTTATTGTCTTCAAACTTATATTTGACTGGAGGAAATACATAAATATTTTTGCCGCTATCGATAAGAAACACTGTAAATTCACGTCCGTCAATATACTGTTCAAGCAATCCGTCGCCGAATTCATTGATTATGGCTAAGCAACGTTCTTTCATGTTGGCAACATCATAATTATAGATCAGATATAAGGGCAAATTTAGATATTGATAGTTGATTGTAGTGACATAAATGCTTGATTTCAATGCGTTAAGGATCCTAACAATGTAAATCGAAACCAGTAAATGCAATACCTTGATTTTCCATGTACTTAATTATTTTTATTCTCATATCGTCTGGAGTATCGTACAAGTTAACAAATATATCTACTTCATGTTTTAATCGACGAATGGAAGTTATATTCTTTCTTATATTTGCAGTTAGATAAACAGTTTGGACATTAATATTTGGATTTAACTCTTTCAAAACTTATTCAGCATCATTTGGGTATACTATTACAGATTTTTGATCATTTTCGCTTGTCGAACTATTTGAATAATTGCTTTAATTGATTTATTTTCGTATACCAATCACTTCTACTTGTGATTCATCATCATGATCAGTCTCTGTTGATTCACAATCGTTTTTCATCATAGGTTATCTGAAAAATACAGGACAGAATGCGCATCAATATCGCACGGCTTTGTATTCTACCTCATACAGCACACAGTTACAACTAGTCCGTCAGTCATCATTGCATATTCTACGAAAGAAGCTATACTTCAATACTGTTGGTTTTCAGATTCATCTTACTAATATCGAAATTAAAAATTGGATGTGGATGTATGCGTAAAGAGAAGACGAACACTCACACTCTTAACCTAACATTTTGATTCAATTTATTCCATCATCTTCTTGCATAAACTCCTTATGTGATAAATTATTTTATATTGGGTAACTCGTATCACTTCCATAGTTACATATGCGATCAATATTGTAAAAGTAAAACATGAAATATTTATATATGGAGATAGATAAAAACAACGATTAAGGAAGAAGTCGAGAAACATCTTTTTCTTTGTTTTAGATAATGAAGAATTAGGTTAGAAGAACGCGAACATATATAGAATAATCGAAGAAAAACAAAAATGGTTTACTCTATAACTATTTTCATTTTTATACAGACTCTTTAATATAATTGATTGTTAATAAATTGTAATTACTAATTTTTTTAATTCATTAACAAATTTTATAATTAATTAATAACTGACTGTTTAAGTAATGTACTGATCAATAATTAAATTGTCTGATTTAATAATTATTTCATTGATTTTTTAGAGA